TATATATATATATATATATATATATATATATATATAAAAATTAGCACTTGCTGATGCTGCCCTTGCTATAGGAATCCTTTACACATTTTGTCAGTAATAACCCTGCAGTCTCATTCACTCTCAGTGTCAGAGGCTTTCTGTAGTAGTCTCTGTACTGGCCCTGGCATCACCAAGGTGTCTGACTGCTGTGTGGGAAGCTTTCAATGGCTGAAGATATGTGTTGGAAATGTCTGCGCTTTATCAGTGACAGCTGTGGGTTCCTTTGCTCATAGAGGCAGAGAAAAAGCCTGTTGCCTGCTGTCACTCACAGAGCACTGAAGGCGTCATAGGCAGCAGTCAGACACCCTAGTCGGCCAGAAGGGAAGGATGTCCAGAAGAAAGGTCAAAGAAAACAACATCACAGTTACTGACAAAAGGCATAATGAATTGCAATGTTTCTTTATGACAGAATGGTTTTATACACCTCACTTGAGTGGGTTAGGTAGAATTTTAGAATTATTAAACATTTTAAACACAGAGGAATAATAAACAGTTCTGCTACCAAAGGATACAAACATTTGGTTTAATGACAAAGTAAAGCAAACAGGTATTCTAGATGAACCTGATAATTTGACTGCAGGGCCATAACGTAGGCACATACAGTTGACAAGGAAAGCCAAGATCATGGTTGTGCCTTGTTCCAACCCCCTGCCATTTCCTTTATGCTGGTCAGTGGTGGAGATGATTACACCTTATGGATAACATGGAAGTGGAAAGGTGGACCACAGTATGACTGTGTTTCTCAGGCCACTGTGTACATAACAGAAGCTTTTCAAGGTAGTAAGGTTCTCTGAAATAAACACACCTCTGTGCAGGTACTTAGATATACCTACATTATAAAGATCACTTTTTCATGTGCAATGAAACCTAAAACATAGACAAGGGTTAAGACAAAAAAATGGCAACTCTACGTGATTTGCAGGTGTGAAAGTGACAGTGTTTTGCCTTGAAAGAAGAAGTTCTGTAACACTCTTTCAAATCAGCTGTGTGATGAGACACCTAGCTAACAGGTGGGAAGCTTTACTTTCATCATTCACTGCTGTCGTTGCTAGTAATACGGAGTCATGTGGGCTTACCGAGTTTCAAAGAGGGAAAAATTGTTAGTGCTCGCTTAGTTGGTGCCTTTGTGACTGAAGTTGTCATTTTCTTTGGTGTGTCCCGAGGTACAGTATCAAAGATTATGACTATACAGTTTCCGGGAAAATGCCGTCTAAGTGCATAAGTGTGGTTGACATGGTCAACTGACCAAAAGAAACAAAAAGGACATCGCACAGGATTGTGACCCGGACTAAGAAAACAACTGCTGCAAAAGCGACTGCGGAGCTCAGCCTCAATTTCTCTCTTCCCTCCCCCCTCTCCCTCACTCTTCTCCCCTTTCCCTCTCTCATTTTACACAAAATAAAAGTAATCTGGGGGCTAACAAGCTGCTGGATTACTTTTACAGGTGGCAGAAGGGCGTCCTTCCCCCTCCTGCCGCCGATGCCTTTACCAGGCTCTACCATGCAGTCCCAATGCAAATGATCATACTGATCTGTGTCTGATCGCATGCATTGGGAGGCCAGAGGAGAGATTTGGGGTCTAATAGACCCTAGATCTCTCCATAAACAGGAACTGTCATGGCCCATGCTATCACAAGGGATTATTATTATTATACAGGATTTATATAGCGCCAACAGTTTGCTCAGCGATTTACAATATAAAGAGAGACAATACAGCAACAATACAGTTCAATACAAGAGGGATTTGAGGGCCCTGCTCCTTGGAGCTTACAATCTAGGAGGGAGGGATGTTGTTCATTCCTTGTAATAGAAATAGTTGATCAAAAAAGTTAAAAGGTACAGTGTACAAAAAAAAAATGTAAATGAAGAAATAATAAAACAGCAAAAAAAAAAATTAAAGCACCCCGTTCCCCCATGCTCACACGCACATAGGTCCCTCACGCATATGTAAATGGAGATCGCACCAAACAAGTGAGGTACTGCCATGAATGTCAGAATGAGAGTAAAAATTTTAGCACCAGACCTCCTGTGTAACTCTAAACTGGTAACTTGTAAAGGCTTTTAAAATGTTGCCTATGGAGATTTTTAGGTACCATAATCTGGCACCAAATGGTATACCGTGGCTGGCACGATACAAATTCAGATGGTGGGGGGGGGCGCCCGATTTTAGTCTTGCCTAGGGCAGCACCAAACCAAAATACATCACTGTTCTCCTGACTGATACCTTTTAACAATGAGATCCTGCTGATGCTTTGGAATCTCTCTACGGACCATGGCTTTTGCTGTAGGATGCGACTAAGAAAATGTCAGGAAAGACCTACTAGAACAGCTGAACTTTATTTGGGGTTAATCAGAGGCACTTTAAATGATGGCAGGTGTGTACTGACTCCTATTTAACATGATTTTGAATGTGATTGCTTAATTCTGAACTCAGCTACATCCCCAGTTATAAGAGGGTGTGCACACCTACGCAACCATATTATTTTAGTTTTTTATGTTTACTCCCCGCCACCCCCCTTAAAAGATTTCAGTTTGTTTTTCAATTGAGTTGTACAGTTTATACGTAACATTAAAGGTGGAAAAAGTTCTGAAATTATTTATCTTTGTCTCATTTTTTTAACATCACAGAAACCTGACATTTTAACGGGGGTGTGCAGACTTTTTATATCCACTGTATATATGGACCTAACTGTATATGCGCGATTTGTATTTCCGGGTAGGAGGCACGTGCACTGCCCTACCCACTCTGCCACTGGTGGTCACTGATGTCAATCACCGTGTTCCGGCTAGAGATTCCCTGCTGGCAATCGCCGAGTAAAGCTGACGGAAGAGACCTGTGTGTAAACAAACACAGGTCTCTCTCTTGCCAGCAAGGACATGCTGCTGTGTATTTCTCTTCACAGCAAACACACAGAAGCATGTCTCCCTAGTAAAACACACACATAATTTACACGTATTTGGATTTTTTTTTTTTAGCAAAGACATGTAGCAGAATACATTTTGGCCTAAGTGTATGAAGGAATTTGATTTTTAATTTTTTTACTGGACATGTTTTATAGCAAAAAGTCAAAAATGTTGTTTTTATTTCAAAATGGTTGGTCTTTTTTTGTTTATAGTGCAAAAAATTAAACCGCACAGGTGATCAAATACCACCGAAAGAAAGCTCTATTTGTGGGAAAAAAAAAAGGACATAAATTTAATTCATATACAGCGTTGCATGACTGTGCACCTATCAGTTAAAGTAACACAGCGCCATATCACAAAAAATGGCCTGGTCAAGAAGGGGGGTAAATCCTCTGGAGGGCAAGTGGTTAAGGGAATTCCTTGGCAACCCCCAGATCACTGAAACTAGTGTCCCCATTGGAAGATTTCCCTTCAATTACTTTTCTGGAGACAGCCCAAAATTTGGGATTTTCTTTTACTTTCACTTTATATAACTGTAAACAGGACAAGTAGAAAGGGTGAATCTCCCTAAGGGCTCGTTCACACTTGACTGTTTTACCAACGCTTGCCAAACGCCCCTATAGCGTTTGGCAAGCGTTGGTCCGGCGTTGCGGAGCATTTTTTAACACTCTGCAAACGCTGCATGCGCGGTTTAGCGGAGGTTGCCGAGCGTTGAAAACGCCCCACAAACACCTATAATGAAGTTCAAATGGTGTTACCGCTCCGCAAACGCCCCGCAACCACGTCGCAACCCGCACCACAAACGCCGGCCGGGCATTTGTGGAGCGACACCATAGACTGGAATAGGAGGCTTCAACGCCTCCTGACTCAACCAGAGGCATCCGTTTTGCCGCAACGCTAACACTCCCGTTAGAACAGCACCATGTGCTGCAATGTGCAGAATTGTCCGAGGCGTTTGAGAAGCGGTAAAAACGCTTCCAAAACGCCTCTCTGCCGCCTGCACACAAGGCTAGTGTGAAAGTAGCCTAACGGGGGTCAGAGAGAGCAATAAAAAAATGACAGGTGTTCTAATCCCTCTCCAGTTTTGCCTTTAGTTATACTTTAAAAGGAGAAGTAGGGCTAAAGATCTTTTGGCCCTACTTCTCCTGTACGTCACCAGCTGAGTCCAGACCAGTCCAGACTCTGGGAGGATGCCAATTTACTGTCAGAATCCACCCAGATGCCTGGGCCAGCAGCTGGCTCAGCCTGCCAGTGCACCGCTGAGAGCCTTAGCTAGCCACACCCGCCCCATTCACAGCCCAGCGCTCCTGTGAGTGCTGGAGGGGCAGAGCAGAGAGTCAGTGTCCACCCACTGAAGACCGAGACATGAACAATCAGAGGTTTTGATTGCTCAGTTCTCGGTGTAGAGGTGGCGGAGGACCTGCATCCACCTAGGTGAGTATGCAGGTTTATTTTTGTCAAACCTACACTTCTCTCTTAAAGGAAATAATTAAAAAAAAAATTCTACTAGTGTATAGCCAGCTTTTGAGTCTGTATACAGTATACTGCTGTACCTATCTATCAGGAGCATAGAGGTACAAAAACCAGTCATTCCAGTTGAGTCATGGGGATGCAGATGTATCCTGCAAAGGTGATAATTACATTCCATACTCACTAACAAAAAGGTAATATAAAAGGCACAATTTCTGAATTATCATATTACCTGAGCCAAAGTTACAAGCTGCTAAACGTAACCTACACATCATTCAGGATTACACAATACATCCAATATAAAATGCACACTTACTAAGCCATACATCAGCCACTTATTTCAATATTTCTAGATTATGAAGAAACACACACCCAAAAAGCAAAATCTAATAAATTAATTTAGTCTAAACGATCTGTGATCCTTCCCTGTGCTCTAGAACTTTGCATAAAGGTTTAATGAAGTTTACCACTTCCATTGTTGCAAATGAGGCTCAGAACACTAGCTGTATATCAGTGTCTTATCATTTCTGGAGACAGAAAAGTGAGCAAATATCATTTCTATGTATAAGGCAAACTTTGAGTCTACATGTACCGTAAGGCAGGGCTTGAAATTTCCACTCGCCTGCTCACCAATGGCGAGTGGAAATTATGGTGGGGGCGAGTGTGTGCCCCAGGGCCATCTTGCTGAGCAGGCTCGGAGCTCTGGCGGGATCTGTCATTGGCACTGGCAGCCGTCAGACTGCTCAATAGCTGAGCGCAGTGAAAACAAAGCAAGGAGTGTGTGCTGTGCTCTCTGCCTCCCCCTAGAGTGCAGAACCCGGCTCTGTGAGTGAACAACAAAGTACTGCAACTTTTTATGGGGGTGGTAGTGGTGTGTGTATGTATGTACAATTGTACATGTGTGTATGTACATATGTCTGCGTGTATGTACATGTATGTGTGTGTGTACATGTGTCTTTGTGTGTTTGTACGTACATGTGTGTGTTTTGTGTTTTGTACGTACATGTGTCTGTGTGTACATGTGTCTGTGTATGTATGTACGTACATGTGTCTGTGTATGTATGTACATGTGCCTGTGTATGTATGTACATGTGCCTGTGTATGTATGTACATGTGTCTCTGTGCGTGTGTGTGTGTGTGTGTGTTATGATCCGCCAGGTGGTGCCTCTAGCTGCCCACTTGACAGACCTACCCAAAACGTGGAGTCCAAGTCCTGGTCTGTGCTTTCACCAGAGCCTCTGATGGTGGGGATGGACTTGTAATAGACCAGGACCAGGTCACGACCTCTGAGCAGGCCCACCAGTGGCAGAGGGAACCTCCGGGATGTTTAGGTATCGGGAGAGCCAGATGTGAGGAGGCCAGCAGGACTTAGCAGGATGGATCACGAGCAGCGATCCCGTGGGGTAAGCGAGGTACAGAATCGGCAGGCGGAGAGTAGTCAGGTCACACGCAGGGTCAGCAGGATAAGTCAGTCCACAGATAGGTCAAACAAGCCGGGGGTCAGGAGAGGAGGAGGCAGAGTAGTCAGGGCAATCCGGGTCAAACACAGGAAAAGGCAGCGTAATCAGGGTCAATATCACAGGTTCAGGAATTCAGGATCACAGATAGACCTTGCGGCAATCTGTGACAGTGCAGGGCATCTTTAAATATCGCGCCCTGCACTGTCATTGGCCACCCAGGACGCGCCCCTGGCTGTCATTGGCCATTGGTGAATTCCTGTCAGCCGCGGCCCGCCGGGACCTGGTGCTTGTATCCCGGCGCGGACTGCCGCTAGTGCGCATGCTGTCCCTGACAGTGTGCATGTACATGTCTGTGTGTGTGTACAGGTGTCTCTGTTTGTGTGTTTGTTGGTGGCGAGTAACTCTAAGGCCTGGCTAGTAGCTCAGGACTTGAAATTTTAAGCCCTGCCGTAAGGGGTTTATTTACTAAAGCTGGAGAGTGCAAAATCAGGCTCCCTTCTGCATAGAAACCAATTAGCTTCTAACCTCAGCTTGCTCAATGAAGCTTTGGCAATAAAAACTGAAAGCCGATTGGTTTCTATGCAGAAGTGAGCCTGATTCTGCACTCTGCAGCTTTAGTAAATAAACCTCTATGTATCTATGAAAATTGCTGAACTGCTGCAATTACCATTTCAGCCACTCATTTTCCTGCGTAATATGGTTCTACAATATCACATATTCAATTTAAATAGCTAGAATAGCAAACAGCTGCTCCAGTACATTAGTACTACTTCCAGTTTTAGACAACAGAGCACATGATTTACTATGAGTCACACTTTAAAGTAAACTCTATTTCTGAACCTATTACTCAGTGTCCACAATATTAAATGCACATTACATTTTGTGTCCATCAGCTGCCAGAAGAATTGCACAGAAAACAAATTGTTTGGACAAACTCATTACACGCCAATAAAGGCAACAGAGCTGCAGGATCAATACAGGGCAACGATGTAATCCAGCCTTGCTCAACACAGAGGAACCCTTGAATTAACTTTCTGGTCTCAAGGAACCACTGCTAACAATTACTATCTATAGCTCACTGTACATTAGCGTGGTGGTCAGGAGGGAGAAAGTTTCTTACATTTGTAGTCAATGGGAGGAATCCCCCTCTAAAAAGATCAATGGTGTCATTAGGAGCTTATTTGAGAGGCAGAAACCACTCATTGCTCAAGGACCCCCTAGCAGCCTCTCGGAGGAACCCTAGGATTCCATGGAACCCTGGTTAAAAAAGGCTGATGTAGACTGTTAGCTTTGGTTCATCCAGCACCAGGTATCAATATAAGAATGGGCTAAATCATCCAATTATGGTTCCACTTGTTAACACGTGGTTCCACTTTTTAACACTGGCTAAACAGGTCCTTTTATGGTCCTTTCAGATGAGTGGCATCTGGGAATCCGTGATCCAGAACTGGAGCAGAATACAATGGATAGCACTTCTGTGATATTTGTGGCCATTCTGATTTGACCTCCTATCTGGACCCATGTTAGGTCCATGGGCATGCGGATGTAAATCAACGTACATCTGTTTACATCCTTTTACCTTTGACATAGAATGTTTAGGTCTCAAAAAAACAGAAGAGGAATGAAAACCTTTACCACTTTTTTTGGACCTATAGACAGCGGCACTGATCATTTGGGAAAGACCCAGCAGGCTGGTTGTATACTGTAACCATAAATCGACTTGTGTACAACCAGCTAACCCATACATGGATCAAAACTTGGCTGGTCCCTGCTGAACCAACTAAATATCGTTCCATGAATGGCCATCTTTAACAAGAAGTCTAATTACCCAAACACCAATAGCATCTAAGGTATGTTGAAGTGACCTCACAAAAAATATTAAAACATGGTAACATCACTTGAAAGGCTACCTAACATATCATAAAGATTTCTTTGGATAGGTTTATGCATATGGTAGTGCCTGCCATCCCTTTGAAAAGCAATCTGCAATTAATCACTTTTCAGATGTGTTAGAGTGGCTGTGAGGAAGAAACATGTCACCTTCTCACTACCATTTTTTAACCTCGCAAGTGCCAAACACCTGCGTTGCAATGTATGTTTGTAGGGCAGCTACGGGCTGGCCCCATTCACTTCGGCAAGCAGTGGTACTGCCCGCTAAACACTTCATGGGGGATCATTTTTGCCATGGCTGCAAAGTATCAGGCCACACTTTGGTACAATTTGCACCCCCCCCACAATCATTAATGAGCATGTAAAGGATAAGTTCACCTTTGGGAACATGTTACATAATCCTCCCATTTTTAGGGTGGAACATTTCATATGTTGCCGCTCCTGCAGCTCTCCCCCTCCCTGTGACACCAGCCTGCGGATATTCTCCCTGCACCCACTGTCACAATTTGAAAAGAGCGCAACCGTGCAGAACTCTGCCCACACAGTAAAGGTTTGTGAATGAATGTCTACAAGTACACACAGCCTTTGCAGCTGTTGGCACTTGTAGTGCTCAATTAACTGCAAGGGAGCTTGTGAGCACTCTCGTAGTCCACTAGGCTTCCTGAACTGAAGTACTGTAACTGCCTGCAATTATTGGATGTACAGACAGACAGCTACACTGAAAACCTGCAGGAGACTGACAGTACACCCAAGATCTACAGATTGCGGGTGCAATGCTTTACAGTCTCTTAAGAAAAACAAAATGAAATGCACTTTTTTTTACGTGCAAATTATATATATATATATATATATATATATATATAATATATATAGTGAACTTATTCTTTAAGAGACTGCAATCACAAGAGTTCCTCTCCTTAGACCCCTGGTGCCCAAGCTCTTTGGTATTTGATGTGTGACCCTTAGGCCACAGCATACTGGGGACCATTGAAAGAAATCTATAATGCACTTGTTTCTTCTAGTTATGAAGTAAGGTTTAGTTCTTTCACACTAGCTATCCATGCCCTTTTGATGTAGTTGTTTGCCTGACCCTTCATAATGGATTTTGCAGAGAGGAATATCAGATGTGGCATCAGTAGATTTTAAGGAGGCTATAAAGAATGCAAATGTGAGAGCACTGATCGGTAAAAGGACCGTAATGACAGTGATCTCTAGCAGTCTCATGTAACATCTTCTGAGTCTCTGTTTATCTGTTGTAGACTGTAAAATAGTGTTTGCTGAAGATTAACTGCGGTCCAGAAGCTGTGCCCACAAAAAACACAAGAGTGTAAATGATTTGTCAACCAGCATTGCCTGTGGTCTCTCAGCTGCTGCTCTTTTTCCATTTATGACTTACCATGCCTTGTTCTGAACTGTTTCTGAGTGGAGTTGGCCACCTCGATAGAGGCAGGGCCTTTGCTTCCCTATGTTAGAACCTCCAGCAAGAACAGTGAGCAGCACAGTAGTGATATCACCAAATCTTCCAACACTAACAAAAGCAGAAGTGCTTTAGTCTTGATCTGCAGAGATACAGGATACATAAGAGTATGTGGGTCCCTCACACACACCAGGAAGTGCACTGCTATTTTTCAGGAGGAATTCCAGACAAAAGCTACATTTGATCACTCTGCTACTTCTACATTTAGAATTGTCGCTTCCTAGATCAGCACTCTGCTCTCCGGACAAAGGTGATGGTGCTGATTAACTGACCAGTGAGGAGGTCGGAGGCAGAAAGGTGAACTGTTTCATCAAGACTGTGTTTCAACTGTCTGGCTGTGCCATGTAGTGTATGTAAGTCATAAGATTGGCTGCACAGAATTACAAATATTTTAGCAAGTAAAACAGTAAACATAAATCTTTTTTTTACCTGTGCATTAATCTGTTTGCCTGAAGTTTTGCTTCCCTATCAAAAGTTATAACAATAATTGTTTCAAAAGGCCACTCTGACACACTGGGTCAAAAATAACATCTAAGATGTATCAATGACATTTCCGCAGTCAATAACACTACTGTACAAGTCAACCGTGCGCTTACATTTTTAAAGAAGGCAGAATGTAGAATAGATGAAACCATCCATGACCTGTACAGAGACACACCTCACAGGTGATGCATAACTATATGAATCATTGCTTCAAAACACAAAAAGAAAAGAGGGACTGCCATAGGAGACACAAAAGAAAGCTGTACAATGGAGACAACCTATATGTCCAAATTTTTTTGTACATCCTTGCTAGTACTTTTGGATTAGACTACTTTTCTGTGCAAAATCCTATTGGATAGAGCAGAGATGTTTTATTTATTATTATTACTACAGGTACTTATATAGTGCAGTCAATTTAAATATGATGCTTTGACATCAGTCCCTAACCCTCAAGAAGCGTACAATCTGAGGTCCCTAACTTACATTCATACATACATACACTAGGACCAATGTAGACAGGAGCCAATTCACCTACCAGCATGTGTTTGGAGTGTGAGAGAAATCTCACGCAAGCACAGGCAGAACATACAAACACCAGGCAGGTGGCGCCGTGGCTGGGATTTGAACCAATGACTCTAGTGCTACCAGGCGGAAGTGCTAACCATTTAGCCACTGTGCTGGAGATTTTCAGCTCCAGTCATCATCGTTTTTCTACATTTTAACTTTACAAGCACCCAATCAATATGAAACGACTCCTGCCCTACAGCCGCCACCATCCTGATTTTGGGCATCCTAGTCAAAACCCACTTTTACAGTAATTTGATGCAACAGTGGATCCATCTACCTTCACAGACTCTGTAACCGCCAATTACTTCAAACCCGCTCCGATCTTTAAAAGAGAACCAGCTTTGGCTTTTACGAGATTATGTACTGTACATTTAGTCTAAAATTATTGTAATTCCGCATGATTACCATGACCTCTTTATATTTACACCCTAAGAACTCATTCAAATGGGTAGCCAAGAGGAGATAAAAGAAGGCAGTTGAGCCATGGTTTTACTGCCTCCCCTCCCACCTAAACAAAAATAGCACACATGGCAAAATTTTAAAATTAAACCCCCTTAAAACGCCTATTGTGTTTGCTAGGAAGTACCACCACCAAATGTGGCCCATTCAAGAGAATGTGACCACACTTTAGCTGCCCTGAAAACACATGCAATGGATACAGCTGTGGTTCAGTGGTTCACCTTTTAAGGGTTAAAACAGGCAGTAGAGAAGATACACATCAAACACCTTCTGTGGGTTACAGAGAGGAAAAGGGGTCACCACATGTCTGAACAAGCCTATGGCTAAATTTATCAGATGTCTTCCAGCTTCGAAGTAACCATAACAGCCATTTGGCTGAACAAAAAAAAACTGTAATATATGGCCAGCTTTAATCACCCTTCTTGTAAGTTTTGAAAGCTCCAAGCTCTAGAACTCCATGTCCCAACTCCTGACATTGTCCTTGTGCATCTAGGTGTGGGGCCCCTCAAAGATCACAG